TTTTCCCCCTAGAAACGTTTTGTTGTTGTGTCGTTACTTTTTAAGCGCATTATGTCCTGTCCGTGCTCCCCCCCGTCCCCTGGTGACGCTTTCAAACTGATAGAACCGGAGGTGAACGGTAACTGGAGTTTTCTAAGGCACACCAAGCTGAGATAAATGAGATGCGACTTAACCCTTCATACACGTGAAATTTAAAACGTCAGGGTAAATAGATTTCTGGAACTGAGTGAAAAGCGATGGAGAAGTAACACTCCCTGCATACAATAGAGTAAAACCCATACGAATTTTCCTTGTAGTAATTGCACTTTGTTTTTCCTTCTGAAAATGACTTACCCCTTCTCCAGCATATTAAACTCTTTTATAATGACTGTTAAAATCCTGTTTTGTTTGCAAAAATAACATGCAGGGGGAAAATCCAAACTTAAGAGATCACAGACTAGCAGAGGTGAACACTTTTTTTCTTCCAAGTTGATATTTGAATTGGCTGACAAGGAAGAGTGTAGAGGATCAATGTACTTCAAAGCACTTTGTATTTAGGACTCTGTTTTGGGCAAATCAGTGTGTTTATGCAGTCTTCTCATTGTCCTCAATATAGCATGAAGTTGATGGGAACAGCTCCAGATTTTTGTAATCCCTAAACAACAAATAATAAAAGTCCTTGAATTTAGCTCCCCTGAAGTATACTCATATTAGCAGTGCTATTGCCCAAAAGCATTAGGGAAACTGGGATTGTAAGAGAAGCAGCTCATGCTTTTCAAAAAGTATATATGTCATTTCTGATTCTTGATAAAAGATGTTTCAAAGCTTAGGTCCTTCAAGGTTTGGAATTTTTGGCTATGTGGCCAGACCAAAGTTTGCTTTTCATGATGTGGAAGAAAAAAGTAATCTGCCCAGCTGGTGGTGCTTCAGCACCCTCCAGCCCTCAAGTCTAGTGGTGCTGTGACAGTGTACTTGAGCCAGGTACTGGCCTCTTTTGTTCCTCAGCCACTGTCCGTGCTTCCATCTGAAGTAAACTGGGCCTGGAGCAGAGAACACAGGGTGTGTTCAATGGTTTGGATGATGGGCATTGACCACCCGTGGTGGAGCCAAAGGCACTTAACCAGGTTCCATCTTGCACTGTAACTAATGAGTCTTTATTTCTGTGTCTTTCAGTCCTGACTTTAATATGTTTTGCTTCTTAATTAGATTGGGTTGATGTTGCCAATGACCTTTTAAGGTCCTGTCACATAAACCAGCAGATAAAACATCTCTCTGAATGTGGTGCTGATGTGTTTGTTCGTCTCTATGAGTCAATCTTGGGAGAAAAAGTACCAGGTGAGAATGATAATTTCTAAACATGCTTATTTTTTTTCCTCTGTTGATTTTGTAATGAACAAATTCAAGCTTGCAAAGCTTATTACAGAGGTAGGATTTTTTAAGTATTTGTGTGCTTCCAATGACAAACACATAAGACTGTCATTCTTTAAGAAGAAAGAAGTAATACTGGCCAATTTGTAATTATTTTCTTTTTGACTGCTATGAATGGCAGCTATGAGAGGAGTTTGTTATGGCAAAACTTTTTCTACTGTAAATTAGGTGCTGTAAATTATGTACTGAAAGCCAAACATAGGCACAGCACCTATTTGAAGGTGTGAATTGGCTCATTTCTCTTAAAGCAGCATTAATACTGAAGCTTGTTCTCATAAAGTGCTTAATTTTTATGTTCTCCTAAGAGCTAAGCTGTGATTTAACTGTGCTTTAACTCAACTCCATTTGACTTCAGTAACAACAATAAGCAAGGGCTACACAGTTATGTATGTATTTGCTTTATGGTAAACTGTTGTGTTTTGGAAGGTGTCAAGACTCCTACCTGGAGAAGACAAAAGCAAGAGGTAACTGGCAGCTATTAGTGGTAAAAGTCCTGTTAAATATAAGCCCAGAACTAAAATAATCATTGCTCCTAATTAAGTTGGACGTATTGCAGTTCAACTCGTCACTGATGGGAAGAAGAGACTCAACCCAAACTGCAAATCCAGTTTGATGATCTGGACTAGATGTGTACTGGGAGTGAAGGAGGAAAAATGCTTTAGTAGCCTCTTGAATTCAGTACTCAGGCTGATAAAATCCTCACATCTTCCAGGGTCATTCTAAGTTTTTACTCAGTATTTATAAAAGATTTCACATGACTGTGTGATATTTGGGCTTTTCACCAAGTACACAAGGTACTGAAAAACACTAACTTGTAAGTGAAAGTTCAAGTAGTTTAGTCAAAACATCTGCTCTAAGCTATCAATTTAGATAGCCTAAAATCTATTATTTATTTTAAAATAGATTTCATAGCTACTCCTAGGAGCCAAGAGGATGATGCACATAACGTACAAGCAGTAATAGATTCCCTGGCTTTGGACTATTTGCAGGTCAGCTTGTCACACATCACTGGTAAGTGCTCATTTTACTGCAGACAAACACCAGCTGAGTGATTTAGTTTGAACATTTTTAAGCATGCTTTCATACTGAGCTGAAAGGTCTTTTTCCTGTAGTGAGGGTCACCACAACACTGAACCCTGGCCTCAGACATCAGGGCATAGATCTAAACAGCAAGCAGGGAATAAATAAAGGCCATCATATATGACACAGACCTGTAAGAAATGTTAGGAGTTGACAATCAGTCATACTTCACTTGTCTGCTCAAGTGTCACCTGAAGTCTGTTACTGGCTCAGTATTTTTCTATATGCAGTTAAAGCTCAGAGACTGGGTTTTAAAACACAGGCTTTGAATTTCAATCTTGTTACTGGATTTTAAAAAGTTAGTGAGTAAAGACCCACGTGTCTGTCCTTTGTACACAGTTAACAGCTTTCACTCAGTGTTCATATGTACAGCCTCACCCAACAGCCTGCAAAGAAAGAACAGTTTGCTGGATGTGAAGCATCTCCTCCTGATTTGGTACCTGCATGGTATGGGTGGTATTGGCAATCCTGCCTGCCAGCCCATAGGCTTGGCTCACATTGTAGCTGGTATGTGTAAGAAAATATTAAATACCAACTAACCCTAAAAATATCCCAGTTTTGGATTCTGTGTGTAAGCTGGTATAGTATCAATAAACTTTCACTTATTAGCACTGAAAGTATGCAACTTCAGGAAGCATTTCAGATAGATACTTAAGCTCACATATGTAACTGTAAATGAGTGACCAGCTGTCTTCTGAGCTCACACCTTCACAAGAATTTCTGAGCACTCTTCTCCAGAAGACTCATGCTTTTGAGCACTTCTGTGAAGTCCTAATTATTAATATGTGCCAGTATCTTCTCTTAAGGGGAGAACATTGTGAAAGGACAAAGGGAATCGATCAGAAACCTCCTTGAAATATTTGATGGGTTGTTAGAGTATCTTACAGAAGAAGTCAGCGAATCTTCTCAGAATGGAGGTGAGTAGATGTGTCCTAGTTTAAGATATTCTGTTCTGCTACTGCTCTGTTATGGTCAGCTTCCTTCTTCTGTTTGTCTGCTATCAAGTCAGCTTGCTGAGGGCTTTGTTGTGTTCCTGATGTTCATGGCTGGAATGCAGCTCCTGTAATAGGTAAAAAGTGTTTCTTTGCTGTTCTCCTCATTAGCAGACACAAGGAATGATACCCATTGGAAGATGGAAGATTTGTGAAACCTTGTTTTGAGATACCCAAAGTGTTTCCAGTGTAGCAAAGATTTATTTGGCATTTTTGCCTTATTTATAACCTTGACAATGCTCAAGAGGACAGACTGAAACTGACCACAGGGGAGAAAATTTCTGTGGCCAAACTGAGTACTTACATTCATCATTTTCATAATCAATTGTAAAAATATATATCTTATTTTCCAAAAATCCTGTAAAAGGCAAGAATTGGAGAGCATAATCTTTCTGCTTCATTCCTGTGGCACAAGCCTGCTCCAGAAAATTCATCCTCTGTTAGAATGCTACATTTCAACTTGTAAGTCAAATGAGTTATGGCTGGGATTGAAGGAGAGCAATGTTGACTTTAATTGGAACAGTGAGCAGATGTTGCTCTTACTAGGAGACAAACAGGAGGATGACTTAAGCTTTCCTGTGAAAAGTGGATCTTGGGAACTGATCCATAGCAGAGGCTATTTTGAGGAAAATGCTAAACAGGGGAAGAGAAGCTGCTCAGCCCTTCAGAGGCATCACTGGTACTGCAGATTAAGTACTGGTCTTCCTATCTTAAAGCTGATAAGCACTGTCATCACTGGCTGCAGGGTGTGAGTGAAGGGGAGAGCACTTGGTGGCCAGGACAGTTGCCTCCTGCCCTGTTTCACTGTCAGTGGCAGACAGAGGGCAGGAGCAATTCTCAGTGCCTGCCCTTCTGCTTTTCTCTTTTCTCATGCTGCCAGTGCTGCGACCCAAGAGATGTTAGAGGCTCCAATTTTCTAGTTACAGGATTTAATTATTTTGAGGAAAAAGAAAAGGGTTATTTGTAAGTGAAACAACAGGGTACATGATAGTTGTACTGCTGTTCAAAACTCACCATGAAAGTTGCTCCCCTAACCCCCCAAGGAGGGCATTACACATTGTCATTTCATACATCACCTTTACAACGTTTTATTACACTTAAACTGGTCTGATAGTATTGGCAATAATCCGTGTTATTAATGAGTAGAAGTAATTTTCCTGAAAATAATTGCCTCTTCATTATTACCAGAGGAGGCAGATGTGCTGCCCAGTGGTGGAACCCAGGCTGCACCCCGGGAGCGGCTGGGCCGGGGGGGCGGGCGGGCGGCGCAAGCCGCCGCGCGGGTAAGGACAGTTGGGACTGCATTGCTGGAGGGATGGACTCTCTTTGTGTCTCTGCAGAGAAACTAGCAGGTTTTTAATAGTATGCAAGTAGGAAACGTGCTGATTACATATGTCAAATGGAATGGGAGGTAACTTTCTCCTTTAGTCAGGTGGCAAAAGGGCTAAAATTAGATCCAGAATTTTTTTGCTCTTGAAGAGTGCTGTTGGCATTTTGTTTCCCTTAAGTTTACTTTACCTGTGGAATGAAACTTAGTCTCAGTTTTAAATGGCTGTATTTTAGTTGAAGTGCATTTGATTTATCTTCAGGATTCCTCTGTTGTGCAGAAGCTGGCCTCTTCCCCTCCCCACTGCAGCCGCCAGCTGCCTGAAGGAGTTGCCACTCTTCTGCAGCTCCACCGTGTGGACTGCAGGGACAGTGATTTTGACAGTCAGTATTTTGACTTCATGTTCCTCTTAGGTCCCAGTTGGAATTTTTCGTTCCATCTTACGATGTAGACGGATCAGAATCTACCAGTGACTCAATTAGACTTGGGGATACTGCTCATTCCTTTGCCAGGAGAGAGGAAGGTGAGTTCGGGAGAAAAAAAAAATTAAAACTATTCTGTAGTTAACATTTCTAGGCACTTTTTTTTTTTTAAAGTTCTTTGAGAAAAATACTTCTTTCTAAACTATTTCCCAAAAAATCCCAACCCACAATAACCAAACATACCTGTAGTTTATCCTGATGAAGCTAAAATGTAGATTTCTTGAGGTAAGTTTTCCAGACACTGTTTTTCATGACTCCTGAGCTACATTATCTGGATAAAAGTTTGTTGTTCGATTTCTTATTCAGTTCTCCCTAAAAAGGCATTTCATTTTGTTCAACAGAATAAGAGATTTCTGAAGCCTTTAATTTATGTCATTTATTGCTGTGTAAAATGTATTATTTAAGATTGTAAGAAGAATGTGCAGACTACTTAAATGGAGTCCATTCCTGTATTTCCTGTAAGAATATTCCCATTTTAATTAGTGATTAATCTCTGAGCAGAGGCATAAAGAAGTATTATGAATGATGACACTTTTATTTAATAGAATTACAAGTAGTAATTTAACAGATCTATTTTGACTGTGGTATGGATTGCTAAGGCCAAGTTATTAACACACCAAAGACAAAAACTGTCCATCTAAACAGTTTATAGAAAGATGCTTTATAGTTCTTAACATTTTTTCAAACACCACTTCTAGAATTCCAGTTGCCTGAATTGTTACCAGTAGAAAAGGACAAGCAGGTGGAAGAATCTAAAAACTCAGAGGCTACTTCAGCAAAACCTAGACCATTTTCTGGAACTGAAAGGGCCATTGTAAAGGAAAAAGCTGGTGAGTATTTGTTTTTCTGATAGCTAATCTACCAGATGTTGACTAAGGGGTGCAGGATACTAAGGTAGTGTGGAGGAGAACCTTAGTCATGATGAAAACACTATAGACATATTTTACAATGAATACTTTTCAGAAATTTTTTATATTTTAATGTCCTAGGTTATGCAAACTCCACACTTCTGCTTAGCTAGGATTCAGCTTCAGCCAGGTTTTTTCCTTCTGTGGTTTGACTTCTGTCTAATGTGTGTGGAGAATATATAAAACTAACATTCAGCTTTCACAGGTAAGACTTAAGAGTTCTTCATATTTGTCTCTTAAGGATCAGTGGAGTCTGTTCCTGCTACTGAACCTCAAAAAGAGAGTCTGAGTGCCAGTGCTACAAAACTGGGGGAGCCCATCCGGCAAGCGATTCCTTTGCTGCCACCGTTCCAGCCTCTGGAGGCCAGACCCCGTCACCCTGGATGGACAGACTGTCAGAGCCCAGGCAGCCAGTCAGCACCCTTGCCTAACAGTCACGGAGTGAAAATTCCTACTGTGAGGAGAAAAATATTCTATTTTTTTTTTTAAATTAGTAATCAGTGCTACTTTCGTTTTAAAATCCAGTATACTTGCAGAATAGGAGTAGTTGGTCTCTGAAGGACACTTCTGAGTGTATCAGATTTTATCTTCAGTTCAGAGAATCTTGGATTGTGGAGTCACTCATCACTGAGTGTCCAAAGAGGAAGTTAATTTGAGGGATGTGTTTATTTTATACACATATATATGCACATCTCCATAATCAATGTAATTGCACAGTTTATAATACAGTAAACAGAATAATAACGTGTTTTTATCTCTAAAATTAGCATTAATTTCCATATGCAGACAAACCTAATATATGACCTTTATGTCAACATTCTCCTGTGAATTTATAGAAAACATGTTTCTTTTTATTTCAGCTTGAGAAATCACATACACAAAAGGCTGACAATGTTTCTGGTAGTCTTCCTCTATCAAGGAAAATCCCTGGTGAGAGAATTTTGCTGCCTTAAACTGCTAAGTGTCAAATGTTGCATTTATTTTTATTGGCATGACAAGAAACATGGTTTTGAAACTAGTAGTACTCTTTTTTTTTTTTTAATTCAGCCACAAGTTCATATTTTAACTCTGTTTTATAGAGAAACACAAATAGGTTACTTTTAAGCCATTTACTGTGCTGCAGAAAAATAATCCATGTCCCCAGTTCAACTCCTTTCTTAGTTAATCCAGTTAAGATGGGCCCATACTACAGAAATCTCTTCTAGCAGAAAAAAAAAACCTAACTCCAATGGCTGAGCTTATTCTGAGCAGAGAAACACAGACCAAACAAGCCAGCTTCAATCCAGGGAAAAGCCATTCCCTGCTACTGTAGAAAAGCTTTAGAAGCTAATTTTCAGTGCTTGTATTTCTCTGTTGCCTGGGAAACGCTGCTTACCTTCCTAGTCTCCATAGCATTCCCATGACACTGAACATTCAAAACCTGAGAAATTACCAAAATTAATGTCAACTGTGTAACCACAGTTGCTTTGTCACTCTGTTCTCTTTGAAAAACCAGGATCCAAGGTCCATGGACCCCAGTCCATGCTTGTTCCCCGCATTAGTAGGCACAGTACAGTCTGTACCACCAACTAACACTTACTTGTCCTCTGCTTCTGCAGTGGGAGACCAGATGGTATCCAAAGATGCTGAGGACAATGTGGCAAAGGTAGATGTTGCATCTTCACTTTATTTGTGGAAGTTCTGTCAATATTTCTGGATTTCTGCTTCATTTTCTTAGTATCTTGTAGCACTTCTGGGCTTTTTCCAACCTGCTTTTGGCATACTTTCTTCAATATACAGTCAGTGCTGCAATGTTGTTAGATCATAACTGCATACAGTTTGTAAGCCCTGTCAGTTCTCTCTGGAGGTGTTTGCTCCAAGAAGTATTAACTGCCAGTACCTATAGAGTTCTAATTTATCACAGCCAACTAGTTACTCGTTATCTTGGGTTTAATCAAAGATGTATAAAACACAAGAATACAGATAGTCATGTTATTTCTGTGAAGTCTACCAGTATTCTAAATTAGCAGCAATTATGGTTTTCTGGGGTTGTTCAGACTCCAGTAAAATTCAGATTTTGCTCCCTTCTTAAAGATCACTGAACAGCCTGGCTCTGCTCTTTCATTTTATTTCTTTGCATTGCCCTTTGCTTTTCAAAACCAAAATAATGTGAAACCCACAAACGGATCAGCAGATCCTATTCTGTGCTTGTAGAAACATGCCTGTGTAGGAAGCTCCTTGCTCTGGAAAACACTCTTTTTTGCTATCTTCAGCCACAAGAGGTACTCACAGACTTCATTCGTCCCAATAGCTTCAACAGCCTTTACTCCTACATTGTCTGTTTAAAACATTGTCTCTGTTTCAAACTCATTCTCACCAGTGTATTTGCAAGCATATGCATGCCAGCCCCACATCCTCCAGTTCAAAGAGGGAAGTTACCAGGCAGTACTAAACTGCTGTAACTAAATGGCATTGGGACTTCAGTGTTTTCTTCCAGTTTGCTGTGAACTGGAGCTTAGTCTGGACTCAGTGAGTTTCAGCCTACTGGTGCCCCTCGGCCTTAGTCCCAGGTTAGTGAGGTAGGCTGCAGAGATACTCACAGAATTCAGCCTAGACTTTGTTGTTCTGGTTCAGTGGTTTAGCTGCAGATGATTCTTGAGCTGACCTGCTTTATATTTGCTGGTGTATTTCTTTACATATCCAGTTCTCTAAAACACACTATCTTTGGTCAGGCACCTGGACATAAAAAAATATATATACGCACACACACACATATATATATAAAATGTGGGGTTTGAGATGGTTCTCCTATAAAAGCTGCTGGAAGATCTCTCCACTCCCATGATCTACAGTACTTCTGAATTTTACTGTGAAGATCTTAGTAAAATCTTAATTTATTCTTACTCATTTTCCTAGGTTCCCTGGGTATATGTGACTTCATCTGCTTCCTCTTCACATCAAGACCTCTCACTACATGCTGAACAAGGGACACAAACTCCAAGACCTGAACCTAGATGTCTGCCTAGAAAGAAAAGGCAAGTTATGGCTTTCCATACTGAGCAAAGCCAGCACTTTCATATACATGTCTGTCATCCCTCCCCTCTTTTAAAATAAAATCTCTTCCTCCTTGGCTGAATGACAGCAAAAGATTAATTTTAACGGAAAGATTTTTCTTAATTGTAACAGAATTTTACATTTTAACAGAAATGCATTTTATTAAAAATAGGCATTTACACATTCAGCTTCTACTTAATCCTATAAAAATGTGTGTGCACAAAGTGAGCTGGAATCGTACAAGGCAATGCTTATCTCCAGGTTTTTAGAATAGAAATGAAATGTGTCTGTTTTCTGTTTTAGCAGATATAAGGATTCCACCACAGATTCACTTGAAGAGTCTCTTTTCCCCACAACAACAAAGCAAAAGCTGTCTGAGCAAGAGCTTCATCAAGTGTCAGAAAAACTCTGTCGCAGGTTAAATGAACTGGATTTAGTAAGTGAGACTGTTTTCTGTTGTATCTGAGCAAGCTGTCCTTGGCAGTGATAGTGGAGAGAGCCAGAATGTAAACTGACTTCGTACTGATGAGAAGGGAATCTGCAGCTACTATGGTTCTAAATTCTGGATGAACTACTGAACCTGACCCTCTCCAAAATCTGTCTCATAGATGTTGCAGAGCGCTTTGGGCAGGCACACTGGAGAAGAAGAGCTGACAGATGAAGACAGCCTGTCCCAGCACAGTGACAGTGTCATGGATTATCACCGAAGGAAGGCTGAGCGAGGTGACAATTCTCATGGCACTTAAGTGGTAGGATGGAAAGGCATAAAAGTCACTAAAAAAACTTTTTGACTTTTATGCTGTATGAGGTTTTAAGGGCTTTATGTCCTTATGTTTGGCTGGAGGGTGTTTTTTTTTGTTCCAAGTTAGCAATATTCACTGAAGTCAATGAATTGCCTCTTCTTACAGACACACCACATCTGAGGTACCCAGGCAGACCACGATCCCTTTCTCCCTCCTCACCTCCATCTCAGCATCAGCTCTCTTCTGAGCTGGAAGATAAACTTTGCCATAATGGAACAGGCCAAATAAGGAAAATACGCAGCCAGCTGCAAAAAGAAAGGGATGAAAGAACAAAAAAATCAAAGGTAATTTCTAGCTTAGACATATTGGTCATTCTTACTTACAGTCATACTGAAAACATTAAAACTCAATGCTCTTAATGAGGGCATCTGGCCTACTTTAGTAATTTGGTACTGTTGTATCTGTAGACTGCTGAGCAAAAGACTTAAACATCGAATTTGGAAAATAAAAGTTCAGAAGAGGAAGAAGTTACTTTGAACCATACACTGGATAAGTTAATGAGGTGCTCTTGTGGACTGATGACTGTCTCTGAAAAGTCCTCTTATTTTTATTTTCTAGATGGTTGCTAAAGCTTATGAAGATGAACTAAAAAATTTTGAAGCTAGAGAGAGGCTTAGACTTTCCAAGCTTGGAGAAGTCATCAAGGAATTGGTATGTGATGCACTGTGGTGATTGCTGGTTGTGTTTTGGTTTTTGTTTTAAATTTGTCTGGATGATCTGTCCAGACACTGGCTGGATATGCCTTTTGGGTACAAAACCTCCTTGACTTCCAGCATCATAGTGACAGCACTGTATGCTACTAAAGCAGTGAACAGGAGGACAGCTTTTCCTGAGAGCAGAACCAAGGGACAAGTAACCTGAGAAGTTTCAGCACTTGTGTTCAGAACACTGCCTGTTCCTATGGGTAACTTCACCATCATGCATTTCACATGAAGTGGTAACTTCAGGATGCTCAGGATTAAAGAATTAAAGCTCAGTGGACAAGTAGACAGCTTCTGTAGACTGACCTGAACGTCTCCACAGGTGGGCACCTCACACACACGTCCCACAGCCACGCTGATAAGGCTGGAGCCCATGGACACTGGAGGCTATCTGCTTAATCATCTTTTTTTAACTACTCTAGAGAATAATCCTTGCACAAACCCAGCTTTTAACATTACGAATAGGGCAAAGGGCTTTTTGCTGCTTTCTTATGTACTACTGGAACAGCAAAGAAGATCAGCTGAAATCTCTGTCATACCAATGTCATAATGATGCAGGAGGCACCGTCCTTCTCACCACCTTTGCAGAAGCAGGCTGTAGGCTGCTGTAGCTGTGTTTAAGTGCTGCAAAGGAGCTGAAGTTGTTAAGCAGTAATGAGATTTAACCTTTGTTTGAACCCCGACCTGCATTTGGTAAATTCTGTCCTTCTGGAGTATCCAATACAGTATGTCTAAATTCTCATTCTGAAGTTTCAAAGACATTTAACTTCTGATATCCAAAACTATGTGAACTATCAGTCTTTCCCTTCTCATACCTGTTCTCCATCTGTTTTACATCTGCTCCTAAGGAACAAGAATACAAAGAAAACATCTTTCAAGAACCTCCAAAAATGCCTCAGTCAGTGAAAGTTTATTCTAGAAAAACCACACCTCGGAATCCCAAATACAGCCAGTGGATTCCAAAACGAGGGACTGTGAAGCCAAAGAAAGCAGCTCCAAGTAAGAACTGCAAAACTATACTTGGTGGAAAACTGGCATCTTTTGAAAGCATGTGTTGAACTCCAGGAATAAAGGCATCAGGCCAACATATACCAGTCAGCTGCAGCATTTTCCCCTTCTTCTGACCTCTATATGTCTGGATTTTTGTTAGGGAAGATAATGCTTTAAGTAAACTTAAACCACCAATGTACAATCAAAACTGTGTCCCATTTGCTACCTCCTTAAAATCCCTTGGATTATTTTCAAGGCTTATTGCCACTACTGCTACTCCTATGCTTGCTCCACTATAGTTCAGTTGTGGTTTTTTATTTTGTTCTGAGCTTGTATCAGATTTAGAATTGGGCCTTTAGCTTCAGTGGGCAGGTGCTGAGCTATGTACAGGTATTGGAGCAGCATCCCCCAGTTGCTGTCATCTGCCTTTCAAGACCCTGCCATGGTGGTGTTAACACTGCCACTGGTTTTGCTGAACAAGTGATGCTCCAAAAAAAGCCAACACAAATTACAGGATCAGGGTCAGTAGACGGTATGGGCCTTGCTTAAATGTAAGATCCTGGTACCATCCCCCACAGGTCTTAAAGTTGCTCAGGTACATTGCCTTTTTTTTCCTTCAGTGTTTAACAGGCATATGCTCTGTTAATACCCATTTGTTTCATCCCCCCATCATCTCTCCCTGCCAGCAAGATCACAGATGTAATGGGAATGAGCTGGTGCCAAACCAGTTTGTTTTACACCTGTTTACTTGACCTGAATTTACTACTCCTGCTGTGTTAGCTTTATTTAAAGTTGCTGCAACCAGTGAGAGAGAAAGAAATCACTGATTAGTGATGGTCAGAGCCATTTAAGAAAGAAGGGGACACCTGTCTTCTTTGGATGTGATGGAGGGAGGGAAATAACACCTGGGCTATGAAAGCCATTCTTCAGCAGAAAGAGAGGGAAAAAAGCCCACACCACCAAAGCTTTGGGCTGACTTTCTCAGCTGCTGTACTGACAGTGATGTGATGTCCTGCTGGGTTTGGCCTTACATCACAACAGCAGCATGGTAGTTTCATATAGTGCTCAATCTAAAATATTGCATAACTTAGTCTGCTGACACTGTCTGGAAGAATTTACCACTAAATGTATTCTCCAGGAATTTATAGCTTACATCTGTCTTTATCTTCTAGTGAGAGTAAGAGATGATGACCTCCTATTTCAGCTGCTGGAAGAGTTTCCCCACCTGCATATTTCCCACCATACTATGAATAAAATGTGGCAGCAGCAGCTTGCACATACTGAACAACTTAAGGCAGCTTCTGGCAGAACTAGACCAAAACTCCAAAATGAAGTGAGTATTCTTATTCTTACTTTTTAACTGTCAGCAGGGATAGTACCTCTGACAGAACAGCTAGCAGCTGTCTGTTTGTACTGCATGACAAAATCACAGTAAAACCACCCTGACTCTGCAGCACCCAGGCAGGGCACGTGCACATCAAAGCACAATGGGAAAGGATGTACGTCTGTGCTTGGTCAGAAGTTGAACCCACACATCTGGATAAGCACACCCCTGTCTATCAGCCACCTGAATATAATGTTCATTTTTTATACCAGTTTATCTAGTACTGCCTATGATTGCTATTGCTTTTTAAAAAGCATTTTGTAGTTTCAAGTGTTAGTTCTGAAGTCTTTTAGTTTAAAATTTAGTTATGAGATACAGAAGTTGATTAACTTATGCATGGTAATTCAACATAACCCAAAAAGTAGCAGAGGAACAAGGTTTGAGACTCCTACACACAACTGCCTGTCCTGCACAGTGATGGAAGTAATCAGCTTTTTTTAAACCTCCAGGTTCAACAAGCCCTGAAGAAGCATGAGCTTCTTGTTGCTATGATTAAAAAAGATCAAGACCATAACAAGAGACTGGTATGTTCTTTGAAGGGTATTTGTTACATAATAGAAAAAGTTCATGTTGAGCTAGCTAGAAAGCATATTCCCTGGTCCATGAAAGTGCCTTTTTATCTTATGATAATTTTATGCCTCTTGAGTACCTGTGGTCTCAAATGCCATGTAATCTGTTTGCTGTGTGGCTGCTGAGGTCATGGGAATGGAATCTTATCATTATTAGGCTGCACTCTTGCTTTAAATGTGCAAACCATTTCTCAGAATGTGCAAGGAGGAGCAACTTCAGACTCCCAGTGTTGCTGGCAAAGACAGCAGCTACCCTGGCAGTGCTGACTCCTTAACTGTACCATGCTCTTGATGGCACCACTTTGCTACCTCAGTGGTGACTGAAGCTTTGACCCATAAATGCAGTGTAAAACCGGGGGAGGGAGCAGGTCCTTAGTAAAAGCCCCTATTCACGGAGCAATGCTTAACGACGCTTTGCCTGCAGCAGTGTCTGTTGGCAGCCTGGTGGTCTCCCAGCTGCCGCTCTCCTTTCAGCAGTGCAGCGTCTCTGCCGGCAGCAGTGGGCGCAGAGGAAGCTGCGGGAGCGGCGGCAGCAGGCGGCGCGGGCCCGGCGCTACCACGGGGAGTACCGCGCTCAGCTGCGCGCCAGGATGGCGCGGGCTCGGACGCGGGAGGAGAGGGCAAGTACAAGAGGGCTTGCTCTGCCAGCCTGGAATTGGGTTTGTGTTTGGGCCTCAGTGCTGAGGACCCACGGTCCGGTAGCTCAGCTAAAGGTATGAGCAGGCAGCAAGTGAACAGCCCAGAGGAGCCAGGATGGAATCGCGGGTCGGGCAGGGGTATGGATTAAAAGCTTCCTTGTTAAGAAACACTGGTACGGTTTAGGGCAGACCACTGTAAAACAAGGAAGGAGGCTTTATGGGGTTAAGAGAAGGAGAGAAAGGGTGAAGAATCAGTATGGAAAAACAGGGCTGGTAACATGAGAAATTGGGGAAATGAGTTTTCAGAAACAGTAGGATTAAGAAGTTGTTCCTATAGTAACTATCCAAAGAAAACAATCTAAATCTTCAGCTGAGGAAACTGATGAAAAAGAGAGCTTTGTTATTGCCATATGTTTGCTAAACAAAGTGGGCTTTTTGACAGCTACAATCTCCAATTAGTGCTGGCCATCAGAGCTAAGGGAAGCAAGCAGAGTCACTAGCTTTGCCAGGGCAGATACACAATTCTCACGTTTTTAAACAAAAGTCTGGAAGATTAGTGCATAATCCACTATTGGTGATCTGAGAACTGTTGGTTTGCCTCAAGCTGCACCATAGCTGGTAACAGGTTTTTGTATAAATGGAAAGCCTGAGTACAGGCTGGATTTCCTGCTATTGGAAATCCGGATGAAGGGTCTGAAGTTAGACAACAGAATGCAGGGTGGGCTGTAGGTGGGTGTGTGTTCAGAGACCCTGGCTTGGGCTGCTGGCTTGTCTCATTTAAAAATGGAATACACATTTGCTGTTGTAGCCCCTTTCTTAGTCATATGACTAAACTGACATAAAAATTGTAACACATAATGTAAACGTATACTTAGAAGTTTCTGGGCAAGTTTTAGGTTTACCTTTTTAAATTGCTGGCAGATATTTAAAAACTTATTTGAAGAAGGCTTAGAAATTCAGAAGCAAAGACTGAAGGACCTGAGAGCATACGCTCAAGAGAAGCGTGAGGAGCAAAGGAGAGAGCATCAAAACGAGCTGGAGTCTATGGAGAACTATTACAAAGATCAGGTAAAGCTTCATCTGCATCAAAAACAGTTAAAATTTTTTTACATCAGAAGTCTTTCCTTTCTGTAACTGGTTCAGCTCAAACCCATGCTGTGTTTAGTTTTCCATGCTAGCAGAAGCTTTATCTCAAGAACGCCAAGAAATCCAAACCAGAGAGAAAGCACAAGCACAAGTAAGTATATTTAATTTTGTGCAAATGTCTTTGATTTTTATGTGCTGTGGCTAATGTTTGTATTTTCTTTAGATGCTGCAGAAAACAAAAAGAGACTTGAGGTCGAGGATGGAAAAGGAAATACAGCAACTGCAAGCAGCAATAATGCAAAGTGATGACGACACCTTTTTTCAAGAACTAGAGGCAGACAGGCTGAAAGCTCGCCTGCAGATGGCTTCCTTCCAGTACAGCAAAGGCCACCTGCTGTGAGACAGGGCAAACAGCTCTGCAGGTGGGTCTGGCTCAGGGGAGGAAACCTCTGAGAGCTGCTCTAACTGAAGATGGTGCATGGCTGTTTAAAGTATCTGGTCTGTCATTTTGACAAGTCAGAGGTGTAGCTGCTGCTATCTGGGATCCCTACAGCACTTTTATGATCATCAATAAAGTTTTTGAACTACTTTGTACTTTCTTAGCAAGGATGAGGTAATGTTGAGCTCCACACAAAGGCAACAGGGTGAAATGTGCTTTGTGGAACAGGTGAATGCTCAGCCTACCCTGTGCCTGTGCTGGTTCTGTTGTTGCTGAGTGGAAAAGCCACACCAACACCATTAACCAGAAATTACTGGGTTGGAAAGCCCATATAAGAACAAGGTCTTTCAAAGACCAGCAGTGGTTCAAGTTTCCTGTGAAAGGACAAGTTAGAGAATGCCTGCAATGAACCTGATATACAAATCAGTAATTTAATGGGGAGGGCAATTTAGTTATTCTACACAACACTGTGCTTGCAGTTTTGGTGTTGCTGGCTTGTTAATGGCAAAGTAGGAAGTACCACTTCCTATGCTACAAATGCATTGGAAAAATAGTTTGAAACAGAAAACAATGAAAATTCTTCTACAGGAGTAAAACACAAACTTCTGCAAGAACTGAAACCTGGGAATGCTGTCCATGGGCACTAATTATTTTCAACAGCAGCATACTAATAGGTGTATGTACTATAGGTGTAGTTTTGTAGGTGTCTCAATTGTTGGATTTCACACAGGGCTTTCAAAACTACATAAACCTACATGTAAACAAAGTTTTGTTTCAATAGATCTATTTCAGAAGGGAGTCATTATAATGGTATATAAAAATGGACAAGCAGTAACAACCATGTTTGCTCTTAGAAGATCATTTGGTTGAAACTTTTGCAAGGGTACTTGTATTTAGTACCCTGTTTAGGTTTTTTAGGGAAAAACAAATTAATTCTTGTTCTGTCAGCATGAATCTAGAGTAAATAGTGATTAAAAATTCCCAGCATTCAGCTTTTACCTTACTTCAGGTTGTAAGACTTGCTTCTAGGCTGAGTAGGAGCTGACAACAGGTACTACACGTACCTTTGCAGAACCATCATGTGCTATAAGCAACATGCTTTTCAGCAGAAACTTCACACTTCAGCAGCTGTACATTATGGGCCCTAGGAGATGCAAACACAGAGGGATGAACACTTAAACTGAACACAAGTTACCTACAACCATGCTGATAATTAGTGAGGCCCATTACTGATAGTTTCTCCTCTCCTTGACAAAACTGCAGTTTTAAAATAGTTCATCTTGGTAATGAGGATGAACCCAAGTGTGATTTTAAACAGGCTCTAATAGAAGAGTACTTCCTTAAAATTGCACATGTGAGGAGGAATATAAAAACACTGGAATTAATGGCATTGTAGATGGTATTTAAAGCTTGCCATGAGATGGTGTCTCTTATGGAACTGACAACACACTCCCAATTAAGACTCAGCATTGGGATTGAAAAAACAGAAAAAAGACCTAAGCACAAAAGCCCCCAGCAGCTGGAGATGGGTCCTTTACAGATGAAATGAAACAGCTAATAGTTGAAAAGCCCAAACCAAACCCAAAACACACCTAACAAAAACCCTCCAGGAAAACCAAAACCCACACCCTGACTTTAACCACCATTTGCAGGGAGTTGCTCTAAGCCAGGCTCATTTGAAGTCTTTATCAAAGGGACAATATTTACCTGCTAAGTATATCAAATTAAACAAGTATTTACCTGATTTGTTTCCTTTTTTCCTTCCCTTAAGGAAGACAGTTTAGCTCTGCTGAGTTTTGAGACATCTGTTCACCAATGCCCAGTGAAGTTTTTGCCAAGACATGTATACACTGCTACATCAAAGTCAGAAGACCTTTTTTGACTAGAACCTTTAGCACAATCCTTATTGCAGGTAACAGCACATAGAAGGACACCAAGTTCTAAGTATTTTCTTCTGAAACAAAGTTACTTAAAACTGATATCGTTACATTTTAAAGTAAATAATTAAGAAGAACAACTTTTAAAACCATTGATGCTGTGACAGTGCAAACAGCATACAATTTATTGCTCAACTTCTGCATGGGTACATACATTAAGTACTTAAAAACCATTTTATACAGATTTTTTTTTTTTGTTAAAGCTCATGTAACAGCTGGGTGAAAATACAATGATACCAATGCTAAAACACTCTGTAATAAATACAATGGAAATGATAAACTAAGAACTGTCAGTTTGTGGAGGAGTAATTACACTTGTATAAACTAATTACAACTACAGACAAAGCTCTGAGGATGTGGCAGAGCCAGAGACCTACTACATAGTGTGAAGTACAACAAATGGCACCTGTTAACTGAGTGGTGCTGTTTAAAGTCTGAAGCCATCGGAGCATGCTACATGAAGCTGTATGATGCATACCTGTGACACAGAAGCAAAGCTTTTACTTCCATCAATGCAGCCAGTTTAAACACACCAGGAGTTCAATACAGATGTAGTGTTGTAGAACAAGAATTTAAAAACAGCTTGTGTGCTCTGGACTTTAGTACAACACAAAAATTTGGTACAAATAAATCAGTTTAGGGAAACTGAAACTATGTGCAAAAAAAAAAATTAGAATACATACTGTACAAAGCACCATTACAAAACTCTTTACACCGAGAAATTAAATCCTCTGAAACTCAACCGTGTACTGTATATTTGAAATCTACAAAAGTCACTGTTCATAATTAAACATTCATATTGAAAAGCAACAGCATAAAACCATGATGTGACATCTCTCTAAAACAACTAAAGACTGGATAAAGTAAAACCCAGTAAGAGGGACATGTTGAAATAAATATTCACATTAATCATGGGGTGAAAGTCCAAGGTTAAAATGCAATATTAGGCTTAGCACCTTTTTGAGGGGAAAGTAGCTGACATGATCTTGAAACAAAATTTTGCAAAGGAATCAAGCCTTTAACATTTTCAGACAAACATCTGACTAGGTGATGAGGTGCTTTAGTTAAAGCTCTTGGTCGTTATGAAGGTAGAAAGGCACTCAAAATACTTGGTATATTCATCCTCATCTGTCAGCTATGGAAAGTCAAATGTGGATTTGTCTAGTTTTGCCTATAATATATTAAATTTACAATATTTATCTGTGGCAGTTAAAAAAAATTCTATACACCATACCAAAATGTTTGATAGAACAAACAGATGTACTGCTAAGGCTGCTGTGAAAACGAATGGTACTTATCAGCTGATCTAGAGTCTGTATTCTGCAGAGCTCATCTCCTCCCTCCTCAAAAATGCTTTTATGATGTAAGGGTGGCCATAATGTGTGTCCAATAAATGCACCAGCCTATGCAGGCCGACAGGGAGAAGGTTCCTGGGAGGGAGGCACAGATGATGTGGTCAGGAGACACTACAGAGACAGTCCTTAGGGAGTGCCAAGGCGAACTGGCTGCTGCAGGGGGAACAGCTGCCTGCCTGGGAACTGGCCCCCTGGGATCACCTAGCACAGGCCTGGCTTCACCCAAGAGCTGCACCAAACTGGGTTTTACATTTGTCTTCTTAACTGACCAGGGAGGCTGCAGTCTGAGCAAGAGCTGGGGCTGGGGGGGAATCACTTAGACAACACTGGAGTATGTATCCTGTAAAGAGTGGTCAGAAGAACCTGTCTCTGCAATTCACATCATACCTCAAAACTTGCAGGGGGGTGAGAAGAGGTCTTTGGGAGTGTCTAAAGCAGTGGTCCCAGCCACAGGCAGCAGTACTGAGTAAGAAATACACTGGGCAACTACCTACTTTGTGCTCCCAGGCAACCTGGACAGATGTAGTGGTAGCTTCTCTGGCAACAGCACTAACTGAAAGCCATGAACTGGGGATCCTGACTGTAGAGGCAAAGGTACCAGCCGTTTTACAAGAGTGCAATAGTCCCTTGAAATGAAGAAAAAAAGGGTCTGATTCATTTCAAACCTGGCTGTCAAATCAAGTTTCTTGGCTTTCTGTTAACATCCCTAAGCAGCCTCATCTCTGCAGCCAGCCCAGAATGGGAAGCAAGTCTCTTAGAACAAACCTTCCAGCAACAGCTGTACAAAAAAGAAAAAGAAATCAAATGAACATGTGGATTTGGCTCACCAGACTCTTACCACAATTCTACAAAAGTAGGCCACTGCCCACTATTCTAACACACAACATCCAGTAGTAGTTTACTCGCTGTGGCAGTCAGATTTGGCAGAACAAAATTAAGTTCAAGCTCCATAGAAGAGACAGAAAATGAGCTAGTTCACGGTGTGACTTACACTGCAAAAATGGAACAGCTGTTTACATCCCATCCTTTTAGCATTTTCAATACCCTTGACTTCTCATTGGCAGTGTAAAACTAGTGCAGATTTCATGAGTAATTGTAACCTAAGTTTTAAAAAAAAAAAAACCACAACACTGACTGGAAAAAAAAAAGGCTACTTATTCCAAATCTTCTCACCGCTGAGAGGAGAATGCCACCATCTCTTGAGCAGACTGAGTTATCTACACACCACGAGCAGATCATACAGATCTTAACTGAGAATTTCCAAACTAACTTCAAAGTTCAGTTCCCTCTACTGGTAGTGCATTTTATTCCCCTTTGAAGAGATCAACCCATGTTATAATTCATATATATATATATATATATACTTACTTCCATCCCTACAATCAATAAATTATGTGCTTCTAAAACCTCATTTTCAAAGCACACTACACATACTTCAGTTAATACACCATTTTTGCTTAGTTGTAGCTTAAACCCACGCATCATGAGCAGCTAGACAAAGATTATGACATGTTTTACCTGATAAATCCTTAGCATCGACAAATATATAATGTGATTTGGCTGCATTTGAACAAACTTTGGTTGACTGGATAGGATGGGTTCTGAAACGAACTGCTGACAGGCTTCTCCTGTCAAATGTCACCTCATCAGCGTGCTTAAAAAGTTTAAA